TATATATATATATATATATACACATATATGAAACACTTATTATTTATGTTTACAGTTTTCTATCTGCTTTTCTTCCACATCCTGATTCTGATGTTTTTGTGGTCATATTGGCAAACAATGTACACAAATTTAATACCTGTGCCAGAAAAGGTAAATTGTCTGTTACAAATAAAAATAATTATTTGTGATTACAATACAAATAATTTATACACATTTTCTTAACCCTTCTAGTTTAAAATACCTGATGTTGAAATGGAGAAATTGCAACAGGCTGAAACTGAAGAAACGCAAAGACAAATTTTGGAAAGATTTGCACAAGATCTTCCAGTTACTAATCGCACCATAAAAGGAGGTAATATTTAAGTTATAAGTGACATAAAAAATTATTGAATTTCATGTATATGTTGATAATATTCTTTCTTTAGCTATGCGATTCTGTGAAAAGTGTCAGTTAATAAAGCCTGATAGGGCACATCACTGTAGCGTGTGTGGCACTTGTGTCTTAAAAATGGATCATCATTGTCCGTGGGTGAACAATTGCGTAGGATTCCACAATTATAAATTTTTCATACTGTTTCTGGCATACGGACTTCTCTATTGTTTGTTTCTTACCGCTACATCTTTGCAATACTTTATACAATTTTGGCAAGTGAGTAGATTTTTTTTTTTCTAATAAATATTAATATGATTTATTTAGATTATACAGGATGAATCATTTTAATCAAACCAGGCAAATATCTCGACAAATATGGAAGATACGAAAAAATATTTCAGATAAAAATTGTATGATTTAGAGGAGGACAAGATGGTACCGTTGATTTGATCTTGGATAGTCACGTGTGGGAGTTTCCATTTAAAAAATTGAAGATGACTTTCACATGACTTTCAAATGACTATCCAAGGTCAAACAAATGGTATTATCTTATGTTTGCTTGGTCGATTAAAATAATTCACTCTGTATAATATCAAACATAATGTGTGTGTGTATGTGTGTATATATATATATATATATATATATATATATATATAATTCCAATT